GTCTGCTGATGTGCCCAATGAATTCCCTGCAGTGGTCTCCCTTTCCAATAGAGAATCATTTCCTCTGCACACTCTGATCTTCAAAGGATCTCTGCCCATCTAGGCAGATGCCTCTGATAACCATAATGTATCTCACTTGATGTTACTGCAGCCTCCAGTATGGAGAGATAATTCGCTCTCATGAACTGTTTACAAGCTTTAGAAGTTCAGATTTTCACCTTTTCAAAAATAGAAAAAAGTGTCAGCTGCTAACAACAATCTTTTAAGAGGCAGAGGTTCTCCAAGGATTCTGCGTACACCAGGATTTTCAATGTTCTGAGATGCAACAAGGCAGCTCTGTTGATCATCACGTATCCCATTAAATCATTTATTGTTGAAATCTCTCTACAAAATCCCTTCTAAAAAACAGATAATATTTTGTATTATTTATTACAAAATCCTGCTCTGCCAACAGCAAGACTCTCTTCATACAGAACTTCAATAATGGTAAACTAACTGATTTACTGCAAACTAACTGATTTACTGGAAGAGCTCTTACATTTTTAATAGCTCTGTCTGTGTGCCTGCTGTTATTGCACCCTGCAAAAGTGGCAAATTAAATACAGGACAGATGTTCTGAAAGCTGAAAAAAAGAACACTACAGTTTTAACAAACAGCTACCTGTCTGGGACCTCTGCTGGAAGAAAAATCCCATTTCTAGGTGGCTTTTGTTGAACGGGGTTTAAACAGGTTAGGAAGTATTATTTGCCATACTGTTGTCATGGCACTTTTGAAAGTCAGACTGCTGACCAGTGATAAACAGGCATCTTTTCCAGCAGAACAAGGGTTTATTGAGACACAGAGATTAATTTTGTTCCACCAAAGATCAAATCTGAGAATTCATTTTGGACAATATATTTCTCACCTTTTTCAAGAAACAGCAATCTCAGATTTAATTACATTTTTATGCTCTAATGCCCCAACAAAAGTAGTCAATTTTCTCTTCATAAAGTGGACACTTATTCCAGTGGTCTGGAATAAGAACAGACTTACTCTGTAGCAGAGAACTGCTGACCTTCTTCGTTTAAAGTAACTACTAAGCATCAGGAGTTTAAATTTAAATGGGCCTATAGGAGAAAGAAGAGTGTCCAATACTCTATGGTACAAAGGTGCAACAGGTCAAATTCAACCTACGTGCCACTCCTCTGAAGCCCATTGATCAGTAAGAATTTGGTTTGATGTATTGAAAGTGATGAGAATCAGCTGCAGACTGGTTGCAGGGGCTGTTTATTCATGGCTCACATGTCCTGCACAGAGAAAAGGAAGCAGTAAATGCTACATGGTTCCTTCAAATTCAAGGCACTAAAATTCGAAATGTGCCAGATTTCAAATGTGTCCAGCAAGAATAAACAACAGATTGTTTCTACTGAGAGCTGGAACTGTACTGAGCAATACATGAAGAACAGGTACCTCCCAACCTGATGGTAGTATTTAAAGGGTCACACAATTGAATTGGGTTTTTTTCCCTCCCTTTAACCCTCTGAAAACCTTATGAACATTGCTGCTTTAGGCACCTAAGAGTTCTGGACATAAAGTCCCATGAAAACAGTATCTCCTTTAAATGTTTTGTCTCAGCTGCATATAGACCCTCTTTGTAACCCCATTCAGTGCCATGAATGACATACAGATTTCAATTCAAGCAGCTTAATCTGGTTTTAGAAAATAAGTCCAAGAAGGCATGGCAGAGAGCTGCTGGAAGTGTGGATACTTGTCTTTGCATTTTTATATAAGCCTATCTCAATGACATGCAATTTCACATGAAGATTGTGCTTCATAGGGATATGTACTATGATGCTACTGATGCAAAGGTTTGTTGAAGCAGGCTTAATGCTACTCTGTAATCGACATGAGGAATTACATCCCTTTCTTGTAGCTGCCAAGCCCTTTAAATGATGAATAGGGAAGGAAAATGGATGGGAAGATACTAGAGCATTAGGTTAAAGTCGTGGCACTCTGTTAAGGGCCATGTAAATAAAATTGAATAGGATCCATGCCCCAAAAAAACAGAGTTTTAGACAAGCAGGAAGACACGTGATGATAGACAGGCAGGAAGACATTTTTTACGATGAGGGTGGAGAGACACTGGCACAGGTCGCCCAGAGAAGCTGTGGCTGCCCCCTCCCTGGCAGAGTTCAAGGCAGGGCTGGATGGGGCTTTGAGCAACCTGATATAGTGGAAGGTGTCCCTGCCCATGGCAGGGGAGTTGGATTAGATGACCATTAAAGGTCCTTTCCAACCCAAACTATTCTATGATTCTCTGATTCTATGAAAGCAAAAGGAAACAGGCAACCAATACCAGTCAGCAGTAAACAGTACATCCACAGATGAGCTATCTTCAACCTTTCATTTAGCTCACAAAATGATAGTAGAATCCTTTACCCTCCTAGTACTCTGCTGGAATACTGTAATCGCATACAAGCACAGCAGTCAGGACTCCATGCTTCCCACCAGCCTTCAGGAGAAATCAACTTAATGTGGTTAACAAGTCACACTTAGATATGAATGAATTGCAGCAAAATGCAAGCCTGCCTGTTCAATTATAAAATATGTCAAGGCCTTCCAGAAGTGATTAGCACCATAACTTTGAATAAGGTTACCAGAGGCGTGACTGACTAATTGGCAATGCTAAATTTATTTTTAAACGCCAAACAGCATCTCACTACTGTGGGTTGCTATATGGACAATGTATACCATTTGGTAAATGATGACACATGTATCTGAGGGGTTCATCTGTATCTCAGACAAACAAACAACATCAAAAGAGTTTGTCAGATGACTGGCAAAAACCATAAACTACAAAGTTATTAGGGCTAAAGCCTCCTTTTTCTTCCTAGATGAAGGACTGCTACCTGATGACATTGTTAAAGTTAAGATAATTATAAATAACAGAAAAATATATACATTGATCTTTATGGAAAATAGTCTTTCCAGATGCTGTAGAGCCATTTTAATCATCCCAGCCCAAAGGATGCTGAAACAGAGCAACTGGTGACTGGTTTGACTGCTCTGAAAATATTGTTTTGCTGGGAGCTGTTTACTTCCACTTCTTCAGTTACTTACTTAAAGGCTCAGGCATTGTGTTTATGGTTTTAATTTCTTATAGAAGCATCTTACCTGACCTTTATGACATGCTGTCCTCCCCCAGGGAGAGATTCCATGTACGTCACCCAGATATGAAACACAAACAGCTGGAGAAACAGAAGGGATGAAGTGACATCACATCTAATACAAGGGTAGCACTTTTACTGTTGAATTGTTTAACAGCAGGTCTTTCTAAGTGCTCTATCTGAGTGAGGGGTGTAATAAATCATGTGATAGCAGGGGGAAAACACAGAAAATTCCTCTACTGAAAAAGAGGGAGCCTTGATTTTAAAAATATGGGATGTTTAACATAATATAAAAATATGGATGTTTTGCACTTGCACTATAGGGTTTCAGAGGAAGGTAGGATGATGTCCCACATTGGACAGGGACTCCAAGTAGTTTCTCAGTTCACCTTCAAAGACAGCATCCACACCTTCACATCGTCACAATTGTCACACTGCCTGATCAGGAACAAGTAGTAGATAAGGCTCTCTTCAGGCAGCTGGAAGAAATCCTGCTGGAAGAGTTAGCCCATGTTTTTACAAAGCCTCTTAATTATCTCTGAAATATTGGGGCAACTGGAGGAAGTTCCACAAGGACTGGAAGAAAGCAAATGTCACTGCTACTGTCAAGGAGGACCTGAGGAACAACAGGCTGGTCAGGCTTGAATCAGTCCCTGGGAATGTGATCGAACAAATAATTCCAGTAACTGTTTCCAAATATTATGGAAAATAAGGTGATTGGATTTCTGAGGAGAAAATCATGACTGAACAACTTGATAGCCTTGACTGGCTCAGTGGACAAGGGGAGAGCACTGGATATTTTTTATCTTGAGTTTAGTAAGGCTTTCAACACTGACCCCAAACAGATTAAGTATGGACTAGGGAAGTGAACAAAGAGGTGGACTGAAAACTGGCCAAACTGCCAGGCTCAAAGGGCTGTAATCAGCAGTATGAAGTCAGATGGAGGCGAGTCACTAGTGGTGTACCCCATGGGTCTATAGTAGGGCCAATACTGTTTATCATCTGCATTAATAATCTAGGTGATGGGACAGAGTGTGTCCTCAGCAAGTTTGCAAACAACAGGAATATGAGAGGAGTGGTTGTCACACCAGATGGTTTTCCTGCTATTCGGAGGGACCTCAGCTAACTGGAGAAATGAGCTGACAGATGCCTGGCAGATTTCAACAAAGGGAAATGCCAAGCCCTGCACCTGGGGTGATATAATTCCATGTACCAGCACTGGCAGGAGCCAACCAGCTGGAAAGGAGCTTTTCAGAAAAGGTCCTGTGGGTCCTGGTGAACACCTAGTGACAGACAAGACAGCCATGTGCCCTTGCAGCAAAGAAAGCAAACAGCATCCTGGACTGCATTAGACAAAGCATCAGCAGCAGGTTGAGAGAGGTGATCCTTCCTCTCTGCTCAGCCCTAGTGAAAAACATCTGGAGTATTGGGTCAGATGCTGAGCTTCCTAGTAGACAAGAGAGAGAGACATACTGAAGAAAGTCCAGCACAGGGTCACAGAGGTGATTAAGTGCTTGGAGGATAGTACACATGAGGAGACTCAGAGAGAGCTGGGACTGTTTAGCTTAGAGGAGAGAAGGTTCAGGGAGGATCACAGAATCACAGAATCTAGGTTGGAAAGGACCTGAAAGATCATCTAGTCAAACCATTAACATAACACTGACCATTCTCAAGTACACCAGATCCCTCAGTGCTATGTCAACCTGACTCTTAAACACCTCCAGGGATGGGGACTCCACCACCTCCCTGGGCAGCCCATTCCAACACCTAACAACCCCTTCTGGAAAGAAATGCTTCCTAATATCTAGTCCAAACCTTCCCTGGCACAACTTGAGGCCATTCCCTCTTGTCCTATCACTTGTTACTTGGTTAAAGAGGCTCATCCCCAGCTCTCTGCAACCTCCTTTCAGGTAGCTGTAGAGGGCGATGAGGTCTCCCCTCAGCCTCCTCTTCTCCAGACTAAACACCCCCAGTTCCCTCAGCCGCTCCCCGTACGACCTGTGCTCCAGACCCTGCACCAGCTTCATTGCCCTTCTCTGGACACGCTCGAGTCATTCAATGTCCTTTTTGTAGTGAGGGGCCCAAAACTGAACACAGGAATCGAGGAGTGGCCTCACCAGAGCCTCCCTGCCCTCGAGCAGATCAACACTCCCACCCAACCTGGGGTCATCTGCAAACTGACTGAGGATGCACTCGATCCCCTCGTCTAGATCATCAATAAAGATGTTAAACAGGAGTGGCCCCAACACCAAGCCCTGGGGGACACCACTCATGACCGGTTGCCAACTGGATTTAACTCAGTTCACCACAACTCTTTGGGCCCGGCCATCCAGACAGTTTTTTACCCAGCAAATTGTGTGCCCATCCAAGCCATGAGCAGCCATTTTCACCAGGAGAATGCTGTGGGAAATGGTGTCAAAGGCGTTGTTGAAGTCAAGGTAGACAACATCCACAGCCTTTCCCTCATCCAATAAGCAGGTCGCCCTGTCGTAGAAGGAGATCAGGTTTGTCAAGCAGGACCTGCCTTTCATAAACCCCTGCTGACTGGGCCTGAGCATCTGGTTGTCCCACATGTGCTGTATGATGGTACTCAGCATGAGCTGCTCCATCAACTTCCTGGGCACCAAGGTCAAGTTGCGAGGCCTGTTATTTCCCAGATCATCCTTCCAACCCTTCTCATCGATGGGCGTCTCACTGGCCAATTTCCAATCTGTCAGGATTGATCTTATCAATGTATACAAATACCAGAAGGGAGGGTGAAAAAAGGACACAGCCAGGCTCTTTTTAGTGGTGCCCAGGACAAGAGGCAGTAAGCACAAATTAGGAGAAAGTCCTTTTAAACATAAGAAAATACTTTTTGACTGTGAGTGTGCTAAAACACTGGAGAAGATTGCCCAGTCATTTGTGGAGTCTCCATCCTTGGAGATACCCCCCAGATGACTGAACATAGCCCCAGGTGATCTGCTCTAGCTCATCCTGTTCTGAGCAAGGAGCTGGACTAGGTGATCTCCAGAAGTGCCTTCCTGCCTCAGCAGCCCTGTGATTGCAGGGTTCCAATTAAGGGATATGAATCTCACTATGTATCTGTAGAGCAGTGAGCCTGGGCTTGGGTTAGGGGGAAAGCAGACACTTCGGGAGTCTCAAAAGCGTCATTTCTGCACTGATTTAACATTCAAATGACCAAACTGTTTTCTGAGTCAGCTCATGTCACAGAAAGAACTTGGCATTCTAGTAAAACCAAGAACAGCCAAGTACATGTATTTTGCAATGACAAAACATTTTCTTAATATGTATTATTCATGTTCCTGTAACACCACAGGAGTTATTATCTTACTTTATATTTTTAAAAATTCTAGAATGTGAAGTATGAGTGCCGATTAGCTCATTTAAAGTACTTGTTTTATACCAGTCATAAACACAATATTCATTCTTGACAAGATACACTTCAGAAAGTGTAAATTTATAATATTTTGAAATAGGTGCACTGTAAACTAGAATTGAGTTTCCAGTAACTGCTGGAATAAAATTCTTTCCAGAAACTTGTTTGCACTGTTGCTCTTCATGGGCACTGAGCAGATGGCTTATGTTTATTAATTAAAAGCAGCACGTAGTCATTTTCCTGATCTGATTTCCGAATTGCCTTCTCTTGAATATATAGTGCTCCAGCTGTGTGATGTACACACAACTAGTAGTTGTAGTTTAAAACTGGAGTAAATACATACTTAAAGGCAAAGTTGATTTTACAGTAAAACTGCAGGGTAGAGTTTGGCTATTTGACACACTGACCAGACATATCAGAATATGTTTAATTTTCTTTAGGTGTTTTTTAAATTCATAATTTACAAACCAGAATATTCATTTTGGGAATAATCAGAACAGTAATTTCATCTTTCACTATTAAGGTACTGAATTGTATTTGTAAATTAAAACCCTGTTACTGTAAATTGTTATCAAGGTGTATATAAAAAATATCTTTCTTGCACACAACTTTATAGCTTTGTCTCCTAAGTCTCTAATGAAAATGAAGTTTCTAAATACTTTTTGAAAATGGAATGTAGATTTTAAGCACTTTGATATGTTACAGCCAGATTCAGAACAGGATTAGATCAAAAGATAGAGATCATATCTATTCAAACCAAAGACTTAACAAACCAAAGTCTGGTTTGAATACATACAAACTTTGGGGTTTTTTTCCTGTTTCTTAGCATACTTTTGGGGGGTTGACCTTGTTTTTGTCTTGTTAACAGTTCTAGGATCTGAGCAGAACTTTGGAGAAACATCAGAAAATTCAGGGGGAAATAGTAGAAATATTGCTATGATTCCCAGGATAAGCACTGCAAGTATGATCCTCTGCTTGCAAAGGTTCAAACAGAGGAAAGAGTTTATAACAAAGGTCCTGGCTGAAAGGCATAGCAAATAATTTAAATAATTAAAAATGCCATTTCTTTAATAACAAGAATTCTTTATCCAACCTCAGTTCCATGATCTGGCATTTTTAATGTAAATTATTATGACCAGTATATGCCAGAAAGAGCAAATGCATGTGCAATGGAACTGACAATAAGACTACGATAAGTAATGCTCCTTGAAATGAGACATTTGTGAGGTTTGATTCCAAGCTCCTAAGTCACTCCACCAGGTCTTTATACATTACGGAGAATGCATGGTATTATTATATACATTGAGAGTTTTGAGTATTACATTTAAAAAAAAAAAAAAAAGTTTAAATATTAATAAAAACCTCATTTACTACATTGCCAAAGACATATGAGAAATAAAAACTGAAACACTTTGGCAAAAATATGTTAAAACACAGTGACTGAAAAGAAGAAAACAAAACATAGCAAAGCAAAAAAAGGAAATGAATAATGGATGAATTAGTGGTTCCTCTCGTATTGTTAAAAACACAACAGAGGATCAAATGACATTAAAAGAGAATCAAACATAAAAGCTTATTTCTGGAAGAAGAACTGTCAACATTCTCAGAATCCATCTTTAATTCAGCAAAAACATAAAAAGGAAAAAATACAAACAAAAATGCACATTGCTTATTAAATAAGGTTTGGAAGTCTACTTTCTCCCTTTTGGGTTGACTTTTTGTCAAGTCAGTAAAGCTTGTGGACTTACTTTAAAAAAAATTATCCTTGTTCACCTAGAGGTTGAAATAGGAACACTGTATAAAGAGAAAGTCAAGTAAATACATAGAAAATTCATGCAAAAAACTGTAATTATATAAAACCTATTCATGTGGTCCCAAGACAACTTTAACATTTTTCAGTATGTCTAGTGAATTCCAGAGTGATGTCTGCTCAGATAGTGACTGATACCCTTTGTATCTCTGTTTTCACTTTTTGATTCTCATAACAAAGTCACAGGGTCTGTAAGATCTTTTATTAGTCTCTGGGAGTTTTTCCATCTCCTTGTGTCTCACTTTGATGAGAAAAAATTGGGCTTGTGATGCTGAAACCCAAATCAGAAGCTATATCCAGTGTGATACTTTTTGCACAGTCATTTCAGTACCTGGGCACAAGGACAAATGTGTGAACATATAATCCAGTCTGTTCTCAATGGTGAGTGCTTGTGTGACAAATCCTGTCAAAACCAACTGATATACATAAACCAGCACCTTTTTTTCATTACTATTATTTCTGCAACACTGAGGCTTATTGGTCAGACTGACAATCAGGGTGAACATTAGACTTTATTGCCCTTCTGGAAATGAGGAAGGTCAGGGAATGCGCAACACCGCAGCCTTTTCTTGTGCCAGCGGGTCAGATGCAGCCATCCTCTGCTATACTCTGGAATGATTTGCTGCTGTTACTGAGCACACCAGGGTTGAGGGTTTTTTTCCTATTCTTGTTCTTCTTTGCTTCGGAGGGGAGGATTCAGCTGCATAAATGTAAGTGTCTGAGATTTTATTTACTATTTGGATGTCCTGACCAGCCACTAGCTGTCTCTCCAGAAGGTATGGCTTGGATGAACATGTCTCCCAGTCCTTTGCAAACATCTGCAAACCATTCATGAGGGTATCTGAAGTGAACTTACATGCTTATATTTAGACAAACAAATCATGCTGTGATTGACAGAATTACTTTTCACTTTACAGTTGGCTCTTCCCAATCTCCAGGTAAGATTTTGCACATGGAAATTCAGCAAGACTCCTATTTTTGGTTTCAGCTGGCTCAGGTGGAGCTGTCTGGAAGATTATGGTCACAGGCAGTCTGTGGCTTACAGAGTAGGGACCAGAATCCAGAAAAGGAATTGGCATCTGATAGTAGGAGCCTGTGCAGAATACAGGCTGGGGCACAGTGATTCCTTGCTGAGGAGGCATATTGATGGATGTTGCATAGACTGAAGTCAGTGGGTGCAACAGAGACTAAGTTTTGTTAGAAGCAAGGGATTGCTGCCTTGTCATAAGATTGAACGGTTAGATATGGCTAGATCCACATTAATTACAAATTATTTAATTATAGAAAAAGAAAGGAATTAATTCCTTTCTGTATAGTGTTTGCAACCGCAGCAGCTGTGATATCAAGCTGGAAGCTCTTTGGTTGTTTTCATTCTCTCAGGTTTGCTCAGCTGTTGAGATCTACATCTAAATAGAAGGACAGAAGGACCTATCAAATCAGATCCATGAAAACAGACATATCTATATTTGAAGAGACAAAGGGGTTCCTGTGGTAGGTAGTGTTGATTAGAAAATCCTCTGTATCACAACAAAGAAAGACCCATAGGTCCTTACAGAGTGATAATATCTCTTTGTGGGGCATAAGGTTAACATGTGGTTTTCCTTGGTGAACTTGCTGATTGATATCCTTAACTCAGCTGCTGAAACTATTTAGAAGAGCAACACAGTGGGGGATTGGGAAACAGCAGACTAAGTGCATTAACCCGTAGAAGGAGTGGAGGAAGATGATTTGTTAGGAAGGCATAGGCAAGAATTTGTGCTGCTTTCCCTATGGAAGAAAGCATACTCACCTTTAAACATCTCAACTTCTTGGGAATGGGCTTGTGCAGCGCAGCACTGAAAGAAGTAATTTTATGACAGATATAATAAATCTGTTGAACTGCAACATGAAGGAGTTTGAAGTTACTAGTATCAAATACAACTACAAAGCATATTTATTAACAAAAAGAAGAACAAAGATATCTGTTTGCAATGTTAACTACGAAGGGTGTTTTGTAAGCAGTTTTCATATGTCATTGTGAAGACAAAAATGCTTGAATTCAGCCTACATAATGAGCAATGGCCATTACTGCCTCTGTGAAAGACAATGATGGACAACAGACATGTGCCCTGAGGTGGACCTTTACATAGGCTTCCCCTTCATAGCTGCTCAGAGCGTTCTTTCCTCTGCTTTATCAGGAGTCAGTTCAGTCCAAAACCTTAATGCATCCCTTAATCTGTAATAGCTGACAGAGCTCATGAGAGGCTGCCAGGGCTTGCCAGGAGTCCATGACTCCCCTAGCTCTCCCTCCCCAGCAACAGCTGTCATCCTGACTTTCCTCAGAGGTTTTCTGAGAGACACCCAAAATTCCCAAAGCAGCTCCCTGGGGACTTAGAAGGTCTCAAAGCAAACCAGAAACTGCTTTGTCTGTAGTCTGGCTCTCCTCACTCCACTCAACATGGTAAGTTAGGCTTGTGACCTAGCACTGCAGTCCAAGAAGAGGAAGGGGTGGTCCAGCTCTCTGCCTCAACCATCCCTCTAAAGGTTGGGGTTACCTATCTCTGAACATGGAGGAGGTATCTCTAGCATTTGATGGAGATGCATCTGGACTAAACACTGAGCTTGCAGAAGGATAAAGCAGGAGGACCGGGATTAGCAGGTTTACACACAGTTTGCAATCTGGACAACAGGGACAGGCACAGGAAGAAGAATCACCTCTGCTTTACAGGTGGTCAGGTGCAGCATAACTAGACTGACTGATCTGCATGAAGGCTTATATAAGGGGTAAGAATACAGTGAAGAACAACTCAAAACCAGGTTATACCAGTCAGCCTGAAACCTATTTCATTTATGTTATTTGTTCTTTTTTCATATTCAGACAAGACTGCCATGTTAGCATATAAACTTCACATACATATTTGCACAATACACCTTATGTACAAAGAAGCATATTAAAGGCTACTGTTGGACTTTAGAAATATTCTCCACACATCTCTCAATTTTCATCATGCAATGTCAATGTAATCCTTTCACAGCTGGCACTTCTCTACTTTTAAAAAGCAAAAATGGCTGGCTTGGTAGATGAGGGAAGAGCAGTGGATATTGTCTGCCTAGACTTCAGTAAGGCTTTTGATATTGTCTGCATTAGGATCCTCAAAGAGAAGCTGATGAAGTGTGGGATAGATGAGCAGACAGAGAGGCAGACCGAAAACTGACTAAACAGCCAGATGGTGATGACTGGTGACATGAAGTCTAGATTGAGGTCAGTAACTAGCAGTGTACCCCAGGGGTGAATACTGGATCCAGCCCTCTTCAACATCTTCATTAATGATCTGGGTGATGGGGCAGAGCGTACCCTCAGCGAGTTTGACGATGACACCTACTGGGAGGAGGGGCTGATAAGCCAGAGTCATGTAGCCATCCAGAAGGACCTCAACAGACTGGGCACCTGGGGTCGCAGGAACCAGATGAAGTTGAACAAGGGGAGGTGCAAAGTCCCACACCTGGGCAGGAACCACTTCAAGCACCAGTACATGCTGGGGGCTGACCAGCTAGAAAGTATCTTTGCAGAAAAGGCCCTGTGGGAGTCCTGGTGGAAACCAAGTTGAACAAGAAACAGCAATGTGCCCTTGTCACAAAGGGCTAAGGGTACGCTGGGCTGCATTAGGAGGAATGTTACCAGCAGGTGGAAGGGGGTGATCCTTCTCCTCTACTCAGCACCAGTGAGGCCACACTCTGAGTACTGGGTCCAATTCTGGGCTCACCAGTAAAAGAGAGACATGGACCCAGTGGAGAGTCCAGCAAAGGCCCACAAAGATGAAGAAGAGACTGGAGCATCTCTCCTGTAAGGAAAGGCTGAGAGAACTGGGACTGCTCAGCTGGAGAAAAGAAAGTTCGGGAGGGATCTCATCGATACGTACAAATACCTGAAGGGAAGACGCAAAGAGAATTAAGCCAGGCTCTATTCAGTGGTGCCCAGTGACAGGTCCAGAGGCAGCAGGCACAAACTGAAACACAGGAGGCTCCCTCTGGGCACCAGGAAACACTTTTTTACTGTGAGGGTGATCAAGTCCCGGCATAGGTAGCCCAGAGAGGTGGTAGAGTCTCCATCCTTGGAGATAATCAAAAGTCTTCTGGACATGGTCCTGGGCAACTTGCTCTAGGTGATGCAATTTGAGCAGGGGGGGTGGATCAGATGACCTCTAGAGGTCTCCTCCAACCTCAACCATTGTGTGATTCTGTGAAAAAATTTTAGAGCCTAGATTTTGATTGAGAATTTTTGATAAATTACCCTTTTCAATAGCTGATTTCCCTTTCACAGGTTTTAAAACACAAATATTTAAAATGTGAACTTTGGGATTTTTTTCTATTTTGCAACACTTCTGTCCAATAATTTCTACTAATTTCCTCTAAAAAGGCACTTAAAAATTAAATGATACATAATTTTCAGATTGCCAGTCCTTGAAAACTTTCAGAGTATCAGTTTTCTTTCCCTACTCTGCACAAGCAAAAAAAAAAAAATCTCAAAAACTCCTCTGGGATAAAACAAATAATTTCCTTCCCACTCCCTATCACTACGTCCCCGAGTGAAATACTGGCACCAACAGAATCAACAGAAGATTACCACTCACAATTGCCTTAGGCAAAGCAATATCCTTATGGATTTTATTATGCTCTCCATTTTAAGTATAAAGAATTTATTTTTATACTGATAGAATCTTTCAAAGCAAGGAGCTTTCTGAAGTTCAGTCTCTGTGAAGTTACTAACATTTTTAATTAATGCCATGAAGGCACTCAAATCTCTTTTGTATAATACGGTGAATTTAAATAAGTTAAAACCAAAAAAACCTTTATTAATAAGTTCTCATTCTCTGATTCCTAGGAATTATTAACAGCCAGTCTTGCCAAAACTGTGATTTTATGTGCACCAAGTCTGCCTTTAGCACCTTCAATTGGGGCACAATTTCATTTGTCTTCATTGTCAATGTGATAAGGTCTATTGGATATTACTACACATATTTTGAAACCTAGGGATGCATAAGTAGGATTTAGTATACTCTTGAAAGGATAGCATGCAGCCTTCATGCTGAATTTTCTGATGCTAGGAGATTTAAATTAGACTTTTCAAGCTATTTTAACTTTATTTTTGACATGTAATATATAATATAGGTGAGTAAAATAACACAGTGTTAGTTATATTATCACAAGGTTTGACAAGATCACAAGGCATATTAGCTAAGTGGTGTTTAGCTCCCCACCTTTACTCATTCGGGAAGGACTGGTAGGGTAGAAACCACAACCAATGGCTCAAAGAAAAAGATTGAGCATGATTTAAGGAAAAAGATTTGCCTAAGGTGGCCTCTGGCTTAGCAAATAAAGAGACTGCAAGAGGTAAAGAAGTCCTAGAAGGAAAAGGGCAACAGACTGATGTAGTAAGCTGTTTAAAATAGTGCCTAATTTGTGAACAAGGGGACATAGACTGACACTCCCTGCCCTGGTAGCAAACACATTACATTCCGTAGACAGGCTGTCGGTTTAGAAAAGTGGTTATGGTACAAAACAAATATTCAAAGTCAGCATTAGATGTGTAAAAAGAGTGCCTGCAAGATGACTGGACACACTTTTCCAAGAGAGGAGGAGGTTGGAAATGTGCTGTCAGTAATTAAATTTGAACAATAGAAGAGTGGCTGATTATTTTTAAAGCCTTCCAGGAATAGGCTTTGGTGGACCATATGGTATTCTGCCCTGAAACTCTCTATTTTGAAATAAACGTCTGTACTTACCCCTCCAGAAAGAGAGTAAACTGGGTGCTAGGTGTGCAATACAGCTCTTCTGACAATATATAGACCACATAATGTATTAGTGAAAGAACCATGTGAGAGGTAGGAAATGGAAAGCACCTGCCATAGCACATAGTGCAGAGTAAGTCCCCACACCTCTGCAGACACTGTTCAGAGCTGGGTCCAGGAGTAGGACATCTAAGAGTCTCTGGTATTCAGAACTGATCAACAAGAAGAGATATTTTAACACATAATTTAGCCTCCAGATAACAGTGCCTACTGCCAGGGAACTTCTTCATTTAAAGTCTGAGGTTCTTAAAAGTTTAATCCCATACAATGCATATTCCTTTCTTAACCCAAAAAGACACGAGAAGCCACATATTGCTCACAATTAGTGTGTAATCTACCCATCATCTCACCTACCTATGACTTACAATTGCAGTGAACCTTCGGTGTGTGTCAGCCCCTTGTACAGATTTGAAGGCACCCCGTACAATCATCAACAATGTTATCAGAGGCAGTACACTCACTTGCTTTGGCAATGTTGTCCTAGCCTGTGACAATGTTTGTCCACCTGTGTCTTTCCAGTGCAAAAGAGTAATGTTAATATTCTTTTTCTCCATTCCTCTGAAAGCTGCAGATGGTATTGCTTCTCCTGCCTCATTACATGAGGATCTGATGAAGAAATTCCTGATCATCAAAGACATTTGATGTACCACTGTGGTTTGTAGCTGCTTTTGTCTTTGCTGTGCATCATGACCCCTTGCAATCACTTTGTTCAAGGCAGGAGGCACTCTGTAAAGGCTTGAGTTATCTGCAGACTGCTGTTATATTGAAGGACACAGTGGGACTACTTTGTCAGTTTGTTCTGCATGCTTTTATTTTTGTGCCTCTTTACAGCTGTTCGTAAATATTCATATTGTAAGTATAGTACCGATCAAGGACTGCTGATCACTTTAAAAGAGAGAGCAATGACATCACCCTGCCCTTTGCATAAAACCATAGCAACCACATCAACTTTCAAGTCCGTGAACTATAGTGATAATATAAGTCATTTTAAGGACAGATCTTACAAATTCTAAGAAAGTAAGCCCATTAAAGTCAGTGGGAATTGAAAACCTGTGGGGAATTAAAAGGGGAAAGGGACCAGCTCCTAGAGAGGGTATGCAATCACAGGCATTGCCAACTCAGCCATTACGGAGCCCTGCTTCAGGAATTATGAGAGTCATTCCCATCTTGGCTGTTCTTTTGCATAAAGTAGAGCATGACAATGGAAACAAATGCAGTAGATGTCACAATGTCTTCTAGAGTCTGCAAGCAGCCTGAGCAAGCAGGTTTAAAACAGCTCGCTCACCCCCAGGTGTTAAAACAAGTCCTACCCATAACATTCCTCCCTTAACAACACTCCCATGGTAATTTCTATCTGGCAAAAGAAGCCACAAACGTCGACAGCCTATCCAGATATGCTATGTGGCTACTAGATTCTGGAAATTAAGCCTAGTTCTCTGTCTCTCCGGACCATGTGGGAAGCCCTGGTCACTCAAATAAAGGAGTCCTTCCTGCAGCTGAAGATGAGCAAAAACTACAGAACACAGTCAGATAAAAGACAAAGGCAGACAGGAAGCGGATCAGCAGTTGATCATCCACAGTTTATACTTTTGACCTATACTGTACTGTTCTCAGGCTTAGCTCCAGGGTCAAACCAAAAGAGTAAATATTCCATGTACTAAAAGATAGCTGTTGCCAAATGGGATACCGATTTTGAATCAACCTGAATGGAATTGCAGGATGACAATTAAAAATTTGTTTAATTACTTTTTGTCAGTCTAACATCCATGATCCAATCCAAGCTAGATACTAAATCTGTAACCAAGGTGCAAAAGCTTCATTCAGAGTTTATAACTTCAGCAACTAAAGACATAAGCTCACATGGTCAAGGTCAAAGTACTTCCTACAGCACACTACCCTGCACCATGGCAACTAAAGGAAGGAAAAGATGAACAGGAATGTACCACAGAGCAAACCAAGTAAGCCCACTGGCACAAGGCTAACAGAAAGGTAATCATGGATTTTGCAGAAAAAATTCCTGGGGCTGCACAGGCCACGTATGTGTAAGGAGAGCAGGGTCTAGGTGTGCTCCTGGGAAAGAGATCGCACTTCATGTGGTCAGGCTGGTTCACCACTCAAGCAAGTAGTGGTCTAGTCTCCTGCCTGCCTACTATCTACAGTAGGATGGCACATCAAGATGGCCTACAGGACAGGAAGCCACAAGGGATTCCCACAGGGCCCATCCCACCACAAGTCAAACCTGGAGAAGGTGGACAGGCCCACCTAAGTGTCCAGATCAACAGGCAAGTTCATAGCAATGAGAGAGGTTCAAAAGGAAGAAGTCAATCCACAGGTCAGGTCTTACGATTGCCCAACAGGCCAGCTCAGAAGTCAGCCTGGAAGTCCTGGTTTGGATCAATGTGGCTTATGACTAGACAGAGACACAGCTGTAGCTGAGCTGCTAAGCTGCAGACCAGCACACAAGCAGGTAGCAGAGGACCAGAACTGGCCTTAAATATGCTCCTAGGCTTATGGGCAGGTAATGTGGGTAGATGCCACAGGTGAAGCTGGTCTGGAAATTAAGATCTATTAGTGCCCTCAGGGCCCCAACATTAAGTGTGGTTAGAGGGTAACATTTCTGCATGTTTTTTTTCTACCAACACCCTGTGTAAGTAGCACAGAAAATTGTATTTCCCTGATATATTCTGTGTATTTTTTCACCAGAGTTGGTTGGTACAAGTCATCAGGGTACTCTACTATCAGAACAACTGTCAAAAGTCATCCAGGAATATATCAATTTTTTCTACTTAGAACACAGGTTTTTGAGCAGGGAGAGCCAACAAATTATCATATTCTAGTATGACACCAACTTATCAGGTGCCTGGGTCTTTTCTTTTCAACAGAATTCTACTTTTACTATTTGATAATTTATTAATTGGAGTTTTAAAGCCTGCTGTCTGTATCTACTGTGCTCCTGCAATATTCATTGTCTTCCCAAATAACATGATTTGTTAAACACTCATTTTTTGCAAAACTGCTGCTCAGATAAGAACAAAGCCAAACCAAGACGGGAAGGCAGGAGGGAGGAGAGGTCTCCAGGCATTGCATAATTTTCTTAGGTCATCAGTACTTCAGAGACATTTTGTAACTCCTCTTGGATTTCATTCTTGTCTGTAGGATCTCTCCACTGTGTAGAACATGGCTCCGTGATGTTTAGGAGACATATACTGTTGTATCAGTAAATTATTTTCAGCCACATTTTAAAGCTTGTGTAACCAAGTTTCCTGCCTGTGTATCTGCCCCCTCTGTCCCCAACTACTTTTGAATCCCTTGATACATAGCCACCACCACATTTGACAGACTTGGACAGATCTCACTGACACAAAGTTCGCACAAGTTTTGAGGAAACAGGTGAGCCAAGAGAAGAGAGAGGATGAACTCAACCTGTATGAGACATCAGAGAATCCCATAGTGAGATCAGGTCTGAACCTTATTACTTACGTTCACATACATGTGCTTACAAAAAGAGAGAGATTTTAGAAGTAGGACATTTACCTTCTTTTTCTGGTTAAGATTATGTTGCAATTTGACAAGTAAAAATCATAGAATAATAAAAAATATTTAGGTTGGAAAAGACTTTTAAGATCAAGTCCAATCATTAACTTAACACTGCCAAGTCCACCACTAAACCATGTACCTAAGCACCACATCTACACGTCTTTTAAATATCTCCAGGGATGGTGGCTCAGCCACTTCCCTGGACAGCCTGTTCCAATGCTTGACAAATATTTTCATAAAGACATTTTTCCTAATATCCAATCTAAACCTTCCCTGGTGCAGCTTGAGGCCATTTCCTCTTGTTGTTTGGAAGAAGAGACCGACACCCACCTTACTACAACCTCCTTTCAGGTAGTTGTAGAAGGCAATGAGGTCTCCCCAGAGCCTCCTTTCCTCCAGGCTAAACAACCCCAGTTCCCTCAGCCACTCCTCACAAGACTTGTGCTCTAGACCCTTCATGAGGTTTGTTGACATTCTTTCGACTTGCTCTAGCACCTCAATGTCTTTCTTGTAGGGAGGGACATAAAACTGAACACAGTATTCGAAGTGCAGCCTCACCGGTGCCAAGTACAGGGGTAAAATCACTTCCCTAGTCTTGCTGGTCACACTATTTCTGACACAAACCAGGATGTCATTGGCCTTCTTGGCCACCTAGGCATACTGCTGGCTTATATTCAGATGGCTGTTGACCAACACTCCCAGAGATCAGCTTAGTCAAGTAGTCAAGTTAATCAAAGGTCTTTATTCTTCCTTTTAACTGGCTCTTTAAGGCCTCCTCAGCATGGAAATTGTGAAGACATTCCTTCTCCAGCAAAGACATGGGTAACATGAAAAAAGATATGTCCTGCCTGACAAACCTAATTCCATTCTACGACAGGGAGACCTGCTTATTGGATGAGGGAAAGGCTGTGGATATTGTCTACCTTGCCTTCAGTAGGCCTTTGACACCATTTCCCACAGCATTCTCCTGGCAAAACTGGCTGCTCGTGGCTTGGATGGGCACACGCTTTGCTGGGTAAAAAACTGTCTGGATGGCCGGGCCCAAAGAGTTGTGGTGAACAGAGTTAAATCCAGTTGGTGGCCGGTCACGAGTGGTGTCCCCCAGGGCTCAGTTTTGGGGCCACTCCTGTTTAACATCTTTATTGATGATCTGGACGAGGGGATCGAGTGCACCCTCAGTCAGTTTGCAGATGACCCCAGGTTGGGTGGGAGTGTTGATCTGCTCGAGGGCAGGGAGGCTCTGCAGAGAGACCTGGACAGGCTGGAGCCATGGGCTGAGCCCAACTGGAGGAGTTTCCATAAGGCCAAATGCCGGGGGCTGCCCTTGGGCCACAACAACCCCCAGCAGCGCTACAGGATTGGGGAGGAGTGGCTGGAGAGCTGACAGTCAGAGAGGGACCTGGGGGTGTTGATTGACAGCCGGCTGAACAGGAGCCAGCAGTGTGCCCAGGGGGCCAAGAAGGCCAATGGCATCCTGGCTTGTGTCAGCAATAACGTGGCCAGCAGGGACAGGGAAGGGATCTTGCCCCTGTGCTCGGCACTGGTGAGGCCACACCTCGATTCCTGTGTTCAGTTTTGGGCCCCTCACTACAAAAAGGACATTGAATGACTCGAGCGTGTCCAGAGAAGGGCAACAGAGCTGGTGAGGGTCTGGAGCACAGGTCGTACGGGAAGCAGCTGAGGGAACTGGGGGTGTTTAGTCTGGAGAAGAGGAGGCTGAGGGGAGACCTCATCGCCCTCTACAGCTCCCTGAAAGGAGGTTGCAGAGAGCTGGGGATGAGCCTCTTTAACCAAGTAATAAGCAATAGGACAAGAGGGAATGGCCTCAAGTTGTGCCATGGAAGGTTTGGACTAGATATTAGGAAGTATTTCTTTCCAGAAGGGGTTGTTAGGTGTTGGAATGGGCTGCCCAGGAAGGTGGTGGTGTCCCCATCCCTGAAGGTGTTTGAGTCAGGTTGACATAATGCTGAGGGATCTGGTGTAGTTGAGAATGGTCAGTGTTATGTTAATGGTTGGACTGAATGATCTACAAGGTCTTTTCCAACCTAGATGATTCTGTGATTCTGTAACATTGCAAAATATCTGGATTTGCACCTTTTATACACTGGCTGTCCTAGGCACTTCTATCACTTGACACACAGTAAGATATCAAGTCTATTTCCATGAACTAAGTGTGAAAAGTAACATTAGGAAAGCTACAGGGGGACTCTTGTTGTGTTTAGTATAATTCAACAACTACAGTTACAGAGGACCCATCATGCAACACAACTGCTCTCCTCTGACTTCCTGCAAGCCCTCCATGGCCACCAATGCACAGCAATCATCACATAAGGTCTTCTGCTCTACTTCAGAGAATTGCATCCATAGATGCAAGGGAACATCACAAATTCAAGATCTGACTTCACAGTAAGGTCATATGTATGGGGCCAGGCCTCCTGTGAGGGTCTGGAACCCTGTGGTTGCTTGATCAATGTATGCAGGTGAAGGTGATTCTTCCCTGCATAAAGGAATTTCTACTTTGCTGGGACCAGTCACAGACTTCTGTAACCGTAACCATTTCTTGACACTACTTTACTGATCTTTAATTTAAAAATTAAAAGTCCTCATGTTCCTGTTGTCTCTAAGGACAAGCTATCTTGTAGAAATAAGCAGAAATAAGTATGTTGCAAGTCTCAATGACAAGCCTGCTTTCTCACCATGCCTAACAAGCTTCAACATAGGCACTTTTCTGAGTGCCTAAACCTTCAGGACATAGCGATGTAGAGTGGAAGAGAATGGTCCTGCTCTCTGTGGTGTTCCATGATTTTCTCTGACATCAAATTCTATTTAACTTGACCTCTAGTAAATCAGAGGAAATCTCACAGGTATGCACCTTCCTTACTTGCTTTCGATGAAGATTCACATGCTTGCTCACCAATGCATTCATGCTACCACCTTTATTCTTCCAGCACATGGACAGTTATGTAGAAAGATCACATCAACCACCACTGACATTCTTGATAAACATTATTTTACAAACAGATAAACATGCAGTCAGGAAATACATGTTCAGAAAATGCATAATAAAAAATGCATGATTCTTCAATATTCAGGAGGGTAAGTTTGTCTTTATGATGACTGCCTTAGCAAGAAAAGTAATGTGTAAATCATTAGCATCTTCTCTGGCCCAGATTCAGGAAGTTTATATTCCACTGAACCCTCTCTCCTTGTCTTCCCAGCTGGTGGTCCCTGACCTTCAAATGCAAAGTCAATAGCAAAAACAAGACAGAGGCTCCCAGGATTAGTTCAAGGCACACTGGTCTAGTCAGTTTTGGGTCACTAACAGAAAAACCGGCCCACTGTCAGGGAATGGAAATGGGGCAGAGAGAGGAGCCGAAGTGCTCTGGTTTTGCTGAGCCCCAGAGATAGCATGTCTGTGACTCCCTTGGGACTGAAGGAAGACAAATGACAGATCATTCTCCTCTGTGACTTGTTAGGTATGTAGATCATTTTCCTAGTTCATCCCTTCATTCTACTGCAATTTATAAATAACCTATTCATCCAAAGCCCTCTTTGCTAGGGAGTCAGCAAACCCAGCAGACCAATGAAGGCGAGGCTGCTGCAGCTCCATGCCCCCAGATCCAAAGCGTAGCGAGTCTGAGCATGTTTTCTCAGCAGGCAGACACACAAAGGCACGTATACACTATGTGTACACACACAGAGGAGTTAGCAATCACACCCTGTCATAAACACCCACACTCGCTCCAGTCACTGGCACCATAAACACTGAGGCCAGCCCAACTGCTGACACCCAGACACAGACCCACAGACATACAGACCCACACACATGTACAGGGAACAGAGAGCCCCTCAGCCAAGAGTTGAAAAGGACCTTAATAAGGAGACATGGCAGACTCTGCTGATCAGGTGTAGGGCATGGGCAGACATACTGACCAGCCACTGTTCACACACAGCTGACCCTTATTGTCCCTTTAACCCTCTACTCTCCTATCCTTGCTCCTCCACAAACCACCCTGATCCTTCCCTTTCCCCACGGTTGGTTCCTCCCCAAACATCCCATACTGTCCTATGCAATCCCAAAGTGTTCTTCCCTTGCATTCCATAATGTGTACCATATCCATGCAGGTATCAATCCCTTCACTCTGCAAGGCGCCCCAGAGAGCCTCTCCATTGATGCAGCGGGTGGATGTCCCCCAGCCCATGGGGCTGAGGTTCTCCCGGCACAGCTGAAATGGGGCAATGGTGGTGGTAAGAGCTTCTTTCCTCTGGGATACTGCGGTTCTTCTGTCCGCCATTGCCCCTCTGTGCTCCTTCATCCATGTGCATAAGCATGTGTGCTGTTTGTGTGCATGGAGATGAGCTTTTTATGGGCTGATGGCTCTCCTGTGATTGGCCTGGGGCTACTGGGCTCAGAGTATAATTCAGGTTCCCCTGCTTGTCATTGTTCCTTTGTGCTCTTTTGTGTGCACAGAGATCAACTCTTTTATCACATAAGCTGACAATGTCCTGCATATATACATTCATATATTACTATTCTTGATAGCATTGCACTTTGTTGTACATCTCTTTTAGTCCAGTGACACTCCTGAGAGCAAATGCCAACAAAGGAGAGAGCATATTCTCTTGCCTGACAGAATAAGAAAAGGGTAGTGAAGTTATTTCTTAGTAATGAAGATCTGAATCTCCACTCTGTTTAGGCCATCTTCATCTTGAAACCAAAGCAAAGTTTGCAGTATTTAGGTATATCCCATCACACAGTTGTGCTAACAGGACAGCCACAGAACTGGAATAGCCTTACATCTCCTTTAGTGTCCTTGGGTATCTCTGATACTCAGGCTAAATGGGTATCAGTGCCAGGCTGCTCTTCCACAGCTCTCAGCCAACATAGTTGACTGACATAGGTGAACTACCCAAGAGATGCTTTGCTTATGTTGGGACCCAGCCTTTGGGAACTTGGAGAGTAAGAAGGTAGAAGGTAATGTAGCCCTTTTACCATTCCCTATGCTCTGCGACAGAGCTTGATCAGACCTATAGTGTGGGACACCTGGTTCTCCCCTACTTTCTGCATTTTCTGTGAGGAAAATGAAAGGGGTGAATCGCTGTGTATCATTGTGCCACCACAACCTCTATGTCTATATTCCTCTACACACACCAGATAACCCTGGGAAGAACAAATGTGTCCATGAACACTATGTACTTCTGGTGCAGGGTATAAAATAACTGAACAGTCAGGTTGAAAAAGTCAAGAAGAACCAAGATAGAATTCCTGGAGCTGATTTCCTCACAGTACAAAGGTAATGGAAAGAGATGAAGAATATTGTTGGACCTGGACAATAGTTCAGTTATTTCCTAAATTCCATTGATTTCTATGATAATTTGTTTTACTGACATGGACAAGATTTTCCTAGTCACCTTGAACTGAATTTCAGCTTCA